TCTTGGATTTAGCAGAGGAAGGTATAACACAATCCAATGGCTGGAAATTGAAGCTAGATAAAAAGGCACACCTTATTTCCAGTCTAAATTGAAGTGAGAGTAATTAATCATTGGAACAATTTACCAAGGGATGTGGTGATTCTCCATCACTGACCATTTTTAAATCGAGATTGGATGTTTTTCTAAAAGCTCTGCTCTAGGGATTACTTTGCGGCAGGTCTCTGGCCTGCGTTATACAGGAGATCAGACTAGGTGATCATAATGGTCCCTTCTGGCCTTGGAATCTATGAATCCAATCAGCAATAGACACTCTGCACCTCTCACCTTGCAAAGAATCACAATCTTCCTCAGATTGATGGGGATTATATCTTCAGAAATTTACATCGCCTCAAAATGAGAACCCTGAAACACTGGCCGGCAAGGACCTGATTACCATGTACAGGCAGCATGGATCAAAAGTTTCCCAGCAGTGATTTACATAAACAAACAGGAAGGTGCCCTTGGCACAAAACTGCGCAGGGAGGGAATAGCTCTGTGGGAGTGGCACATTCTCCTCGATATGTATCCAAAGGCCTTGCACCTAGCAGGGAAAGACAACAACCTAGCAGACCAATTAAGCGGAAAATTATGGACACTCATGAATGGGTCACTGAAAACATTGGTACCAAAAGTGATCCTCGCCTGGAGGGGCCATCCAGACATGGACCTTTTCATAGCTAAACAGAAGGCGAATGCTGAAAATTGTGCTTGAAAATAGGGTGGTACAGTCATTCCATCTTGGCTGCATTCCTCATAGCCTGGAGCCAAAGGCCTCTTTATACGTTTCCTTCTTTTCCACTCATACGGAAGGTCATAAGGATGGAAAAGCAGGACAAGACCAAAATGATTTAAATTACACTAGCATGAGCCAGACATCAGTGATTCCCTGACCTGCTTCACCTCTCAGCAGGGAGCTATCAATATCTCCTTGTCTCCCCAGATCTACAGACTCAGCAGCACAGTGGAGCTTAGCATTCAGACCCGGTCTCCCTTCACCTCACTGCTTGGGCAAATAGGACTTTAACCCACCTGGAACTACTTTGTTCAATTGATGTTCAAAAGTTTTAGTTCATTCTAGGAAAAAAACCTCATCTCAGAAGTGATACAGTTTAAAATGGAAAAGATTAATGCTTTGGGCAAACATCTGTCCAATCCATATTGGAGTATTTGCTGCAGCTTAAACTCGGAGACCTCTCACTATTCTTGTTAAGGTTCATTTCTCAGCCATATCAGCCTCTATTCCACCGCTGACAAAAGATCAGTGTATGCCCATGAAAGTAAAAAAAAAAAAATTCCAAGAAGTCTCAACAATATCTATCCTTCTGTTAAAAGTCCTACACCTTCGTGGGATTTTAATTTGGTTCTCACACAGCTAATGAAGCATCTATATGAGCCAATGGGAAAATGTTCTTTATTCTATTTATCGATTAAAATAGCATTCTTGGGTGCAGTTACATCTGCAAGAAGAGTAAGCAAAATAGCTGTACTCAGAACAGAACTCTACTTTACAATTTTCTGTAAGGACAAAGTAGTTTCTCCCAAAGGTAGACACGAATTTTCACATCAGTCAATCGATACATTTTACCTCTGTTTTTTCCTGAACCTCGTTCACGCGAAGCAAGGTAAATGCCATATGTTAGGTGTAAAAGGAGCTTTAACTTATTATTTAGACAGGACTAAAGAATTCAGGCATTCTCTAAATGTCTTTATCTTGTACTCTGACAACAAAAAAGAGCAGACCATGTCTTTCCAACCATTACCCAGATGGCCTAAGCACTATGTAGAAGAGGCCTACATTTAACTGCTGTCCGTCTCCATCAGGGGATAAGGTCCCACGCTACCAAAGCCAAGATGGCTTCAATGGCATGCCTAAGACACATACCAATTACATAAGTTCAGAAAGCCGTCAAACAGAGCTTCAGACACATTTAAAAAAACCACTGCTCTCTGGACCTAGGGTTCAGCTCTGCTACTCAGTTTGGCAGAGCAGTCATTCAATCTTTTCTTAATTAAGACTCCTCGTCCTACCTTCCTTAGCCGGACTCCTGTTTGGCAATCTATCCCATGCATGGGAATATGTGGAGGCCGTTTACTTGTAACCAGAGTTCTTTGAGATGGACTCTGCAAATTCACTCTCCCTCAACCACCTTCCCCTCTTCCTCAGAGGCCTACTTACAACGTGGACCTGAGGAGGTGGTGATGGAAGGACCGAGACGGACAGAGTGCCGGGGGCCCTTTTATAGCCTCACTCTCAGAACATTCAGGAACAGTGAGGGGGGGGAGCAAGAGGGGGCGTGCGAGCGCTCCAGTGGGCACTGCTATGTAAGAGTCCGTCTTCAGAGCTGCACCAGCTGACGCATCCCATGAGTGGGCATATGCAGAGGCCACTCAAAGACCTCCGGTAACATGTAAGTAACCGTTGTTCATTGTGCAGTGAGTGCTGAGATTCTGTTCAACCTGGGCTAGAGAAAAGGAAGGAGACATAGAGGTGGATTCATAGATCCACCGATTTTAAGGCCAGAAGGGACCATTGTGATCATCTGCTCTGCTGGTGTGGCACAGGCGGAGAATTGCACTGAGTGATTTACCACATTTTATGTATTGTACTTTGAATGTATCAACTCTGATGGCGATATCCTTCTTAAAGACAAAAATTAAAACTGGGTTAACCTCTCCCCTCTGAATTAGAGACAGACTAAAACCGGAATCTTCTGACCTCACCCTTATACCTGCAACTGGACTTTTGGGATCAGTTCCAAACTTGGGTGTTGCAACCCCTAACCCCTAGGTGCCTGGCCACCCACTGGAATTCTCATCCCCAACCTTAGGGCCCAGGCTCTTCATATGATGCCTGGGGACAGTTAGGCACCTACGGGAAGGATCCTCAGAAGACAGCAAACTGGGAAGGGAGCTGCCAAAGCTAGCCAGGCGTGAAATGCAGAGGAAAGGGATGGAGCTTAGATCCAGATCTTCGATGGTAATTAGGTGCTTAATTCCCCCCATTGACGTAGACTTTAGGTGCTGACTGACGGACCAGAGACAGATCCCTCCTTCTGCTCAGGATCTTCAGCTGTGAACTGTCTCTCCTGGAGTGAGGCACCAAAGCGAGGTCCACCACTCAATCAGCCCATGCCCTCACAGCAGCTGAAACCCTGAGTTTTCTAACTCAAACCCAAGTGTGTGAGACAGATGACCCAACAGCCTAGTGGCCAGGGCACTCATCCAGAGCATGGAAGGCTTGTATTCAAATCCTGGCTCTTCCTGATTTGGAACAGGGACTTCAGCCCATCTCCCAGGTGAGTGCTCCAACCACCACACTGTTGGGTGCTCCGGGGTGGGAATCTATCCCACTTGGTATACGTAATTAGCTATTAATTGGAGCAGGGACGTCAGCCTGGATCTCCCACATCCCAGCTAGTGCCCTGATCACCAGCTTATAGAGTCAGTCTGTCTTAGCCAGGGATTATATTTAATAACTATTTCAACAGGAGACATTCAAAGAAGCCTATCCCAGGAGAACCAATAGCTATGGTATTCACTAGGGATGTGGGAGACAGAGCAGGGATTTGAAGTTGGGTCTCCCTTAAACCTCCCTGAAGGGGGGCTCCAAAGAGGATGGAGCTCAGCTGTTCTCAGTGGTGGCAGATGAGAGAACAAGGAGCAATGGTCTCAAGTTGCAGTGGGGGAGGTCTAGGTTGGATATTAGGAAAAACTATTTCACTAGGAGGGTGGTGAAGCACTGGAATGGGTTACTTAGGGAAGTGGTGGAATCTCCATCCTTAGGGTACGTCTATACTTACTTCCTGGTCCGGATGTAAGCGATCGATCTTCTGCGATCGATTCCGGAAGTGCTCGCTGTCGACGCCGGTACTCCAGCTCGGCGAGAGGAGTATGCGGCATCGACGGGGGAGCCTGCCTGCCGCATCTGGACCCGCGGTAAGTTCGGACTAAGGTACTTTGAATTCAGCTACGTTATTAACGTAGCTGAATTTGCGTACCTTACTCCGAAGTGGGGGGTTAGTGTGGACCAGGCCTTAGAGGTTTTTAAGGTCAGGTTTAATAAAGCCTTGGCTGGGATGATTTAGTTGGGGATTGGTCCTGCTTTGAGCAGGTGATTGGACTAGATGACCTCCTGAGGTCCCTTCCAACCCTGATATTCTATGATTCTGTGATTATCCCAGGTGAATTCCTTAATTACCTGGATGGGTGCACACACACACAAAATGCATGCTCCAAGGGCTGTCTTTTGTGCTGGTATCAGGTCTTAGGTGTGCACACCTCCCAGATAGGGCCCCACCGGCGAGGTGGGGCAGTTTGAGCACCCTGCTTCAGGGCCATCAGGGCAAGAGCTCTGAATAGCTCATTAGCTCTGGGGTGGTGTCTGGACTTAGGGGTTCTGCATATGCCCACCATGAAAACTTAGTTAACTACAGCATAGACAGCAGGTGAGCAGCTGGTTTGAGAATGTCATTGGCACTTAAATGTTGAACGTAGGTGCCTGAAGGGACAGATAGGCACCTAAGTAACTTTCTGAATTTGCTATATGCATCCGAAGAAGTGGGCTGTAGTCCACGAAAGCTTATGCTCTAATAAATTTGTTAGTCTCTAAGGTGCCACAAGTACTCCTGTTCTTTTTTCTGAATTTGGGCCTTTGTGATTGGGGAAAAAAGGAATTTGGATTGTAATCAAAACTCAACCAATGAGGAGTTGCTAAACCAAATCAGGCATCCATAGATCTGTTTAACCCAGCTGGCCTTGCACCACTCATCCAGCCTCTGTGTCTTGGTTTCTCCATCTGTGAAATGTGGATAATGATACACCTCTTTGCAATGGAGTGGAAGCCACTGGCAAATTTCTAAGATTTTCAGAGGGAAAAGAGGATGAGGAGAAGGTTCATTTTGCAGTGAAATGGTTGAGGAACTGCTTGGGCTAGTCTAGTATGTGGTCTTGTTCTCTCCTACCTGAAATGGCTTTCCGTTGGATCAGGTTTGGGACATCCAGCTGTGGGAGCTGATTGTATCTGCTTAGATCCACTGTCTCAGTCACTGCATCCAAAGGCACTCCCTCAATCCTAACGGGCTGAAAACCAAAGTAAAACAAGTGCCAATTAAATCTTCTTCCTCTCTTGGGTCTTGTGAGAGTTAATAAAAGCTTCTGACTTGCTGTACCTAAACAAAATAGTGAGAACTCAGTTTTTCTCCGACAGTCTCTTATGTTCCCAGCATTGCCAGAGCCCACAGACCACATCTCCTGCCTGTTTTTATCCCTTTACTGTACTTTAACACCTGGGACTAATCTGAGAAACTCTTGTGCAGTCACTAATATGGCAGATCAGCTGGCTAGCCATGGCAAATTTTCAAGGGTTCAGCTGAGAATAATGGGAGCTGTTAAGTGCCGAAATCTTTTGAAAATCGGTCCTATAAACTAGTGCTTAGAGCAAGGGACAAGGATGCAGGACTCCTTGGATCTGCATCCAACACTGCTACTGACTTGCTTGGGGAAAATCACCTAATCTCTGCCTTCAATGGATTTGCACAAGCATGACTGATTATAACCTGGTAAGGAATCCTCTTCACCCATAGCAAGGAACAGACTGCAGCACACTCTCCCATAGCTGGGTTGGTGCTACAGGGTTAAAAGGAATAAAAAATAGTAAAATCTTAGTTTTTTAACCCTAAGTTCTGTCACTAAAATCAGCAGATATGATTAGACACACAGAGGGTACATCGACGCAGCAACCGTCCCCCTCCCCCCGTGGTCAATTAACTTAGGCTCATGCTACAGGGCTAAAAATAGACGTCCAGACTCTGAGACCTGGTGAGAGGAGAGAATCTCAGAGCCCAGGCTTCAGCCCAAGCCTGAACACCTACACGGCTACTTTTAGCCCCGTAGCATGAGCCCTGGGAGGCTGTCAGCTGACTCACGGCTCCAAGAGTCACTGCTACGTGGGGGCGGGGGGATTGTTGCTGTGTAGACGTACCCACTGCAAAGCAAACTGCTGACTCAGACAGTGTCCTTGCCAGTAATAAGAATGGAGCTGCACTTTAATACATTACTCTGTTTCTCTTTGCTCCCATGGCTGATCCGATTAGCTCCATTGGGGTGAGAGTAGAGAGACTTCTTTTCAAAAAAGGAATAAAAAGACAAAAACAAAAAAACAAAAAACAGAGAAACAGGAAATGGTTCAAAAACCAAAATCCAGGCATGGAAAACTCCTCCTTCGTACCTACATAGAAGTTCTGTTCAGGAGTTCCCCTCCTGCTCATGCACCTACATACTGCTGGTATCCGAAAACTCCACTATGGTCAGTGGTAGCAAAGCACGAAGGTTTCCTTATGGCCATGTACGAACCTGGAGAGTGCCAGCATACTACTGAAACCCGTCCCCCATGCCCCCTCCCCACTGGGCCTAAGTCATTGTGCATAAATCAGGAGCACCAGAAGCTTCCTAGAAGCAGGGGGGCCACCAGTGCCTGGACTGTGGGCCCCACGCCATTCCTCCCTCAAGGCCCCTCCCCTCCTCCTAGGCCCTGCCCTCACTCCACCTGTTCCCCCTGAGGCACTTTTAAAAGTGATGGGGCCCGGATCCCGCCCCGTTCAGTATGATGATGTAGTCTGAGTTCTTGTCTAACAGGCCAGAAACCTTCCCCTAAATGATCAAGTCACTTCTTAGCCTTCTCTTGGCTAAACTAAATAGAGTGTTTAAATATTCGTTGGGATGGAGAGAGAGTAAAAATGACTCCCCAGGTGCATGCCCTAAGCACTAAGCTGTAAAGTGCATGGACCCTTGAATTCCGGTCCCGGCTCCCATGAAGATTTAGTTATAGAAAATGGAACAGCTTCAACAGGAGAGAGTGAGCGAGAGCACCCTCCTGAGTATGCAATAGCTTGGTGGTTAGGACATTCCCCAGGGAGGTGGCAGACCTGGGTTCAGATCCCTGCTCCAAATTAGACAGACTAGGGATTTGAACCCAGGTCTGTCACCTTCAAGGTGAAGGCCCTGACCCATTGGCTGTAATGGGGACTCTTCCATGCTTTGTAAGCAAGAATTGACCTGGCTTAGTTGCCTAACGCCAGGAGTGGGCTCTCAGCTGAGAATCCTGACCAGGCGGGAGGTGCCTAAATACACCTGTGGATCTGCCCCCTCCTCCCCCAGGTTCTACAGCGATGAACATGGTGTATGCACTTATATAGAACAGAAATGAGACCGACATTTTTCACAGTGAGGATAATTAACCGTTGGATCAACTCACCAAGGGTCATGGTGGATTCTCCATCACTGACAATTTCTAAATCAAGATTGGATGTTTTTCAAAAAGATCTGCTCTAGTACAACCAGAAGTTGTTGAGCTTGATGCAGGAATCACTGGGGGAGGTTCTGCGCTCTGTGTCATGCAGGACGTCACCATTCCAGCATTAAGATCTATGAATCTATGCACTGGATAGTAGTAGTGAGGCACAGAACTCTCCTCCTTGCCCACATACCAGGGCAGTGCCATTCCAGATTCTCCCTCTTCCAGGCCTGTAGGAAGTTCTTGGTAATGCCAGAATAG